ATATATATATATATATATATATATATATATATATATATATATATATATATATATATATATATATACATACATACATACATAACGAGAAATTATATTCATTGCTATTCTGGTATCTTTTCCAAATATGCAGGTGTTTCGTGAAAAGTGAGAAATCAATTATAAGAATGTATTATTAAGAAATCTCCTTTTCACGAGTACCCTGTATACAAAGTTTGCTCTTGGAGTGTAAGTTTAGACTACGCTTTCGCAGTGTGTACGTTTTCTCTAAATCACAGAATATTTTTGTCAACTTTCCTCGTATGCCTTTCTTTCGTGTGCTTTTGTTTTATTTATCATGTCAACATTACCAACAGAAGAATAACCTTAGAATACACAACGATTCTAATCAAAATTTAAATAAAAATTTTTCAAAAATTAGAATACACAACGATTCTAATCAAAATTTAAATAAAAATTTTTCAAAAATTAGTGCGAAAAAAGTAAGATTCTTTCTATCAATAAATTTAAGCTTTAATATGTAAAAGTTTCTCTTTATTTTTAAAATTAAATTGATTTCAATTGAGTTTACATTATAAGAAAATATAACTCATGAAAGAAACATATAATATTAAGAAGACTAAATTTTGGTCACAGGATTCTCGGATGTGTTACAAATAATACACGGAAAAAAGAGCCTGGTTGAATTAACATGACATGTTTGGTTAACCAAGTTTTAGTGAGGATAAACAAACTTTCTGGTTATCATGACGAGATATTCCGGTATGTAACCAGAACATTTAGTTATAATACCGATCATAGTTTGGTTACTGCCATTATACTGATGTAGTAGTAACATTCAAGTGTTTGATTATTACGACTACACGTGAAAAAAGAGCATGGTTGGATTAGTGTAGCATGTTTGATTGTTGGTTGAACTAAACAGAATTTCTGGTTATTATAATCACATATTCTGGTATTCAATGCTGGTTACAACAAAGGTAGACAATATACAAGAGATGTATCAATTGGGGAAGTGGCATAGCGCGTAGACAGACGACTCACGATCCGCAGATCCCGAGTTCAAATCCCACCAGGATAACAACAAAGGCGAGTTTTTCAAATATCCAATATAACATTCGAATCAATTAAATTTTCCAAGTAAAAAAAAATATATATTTTCCAAGCAAAAAAAATATATATTAACACTTTAGAAAAACTTTCGGTTGGAAAAGTAATCTAATGAGAAATATAGTTTTATTATTGTAACACCGAACTTGTGTCTGATTACTTCAATTAGAACGTATGTAACCAAATTTGTCTAGTTTAACTAAAATTATGTTTTATTCATTTCTCAGTAGTCTGGTGTTAATATATTCTGAATTCCTTAAT